GAGGTTTTGGTTGGGTTCAGATTAATGTAACAGGAAAACAGACACAATGCAGGAATTCAATAATTTCTGGTACCACTTACTCACCTGTCGATCAGGTGTGCATTAGAAAACAACTCATTTTACAGAATCAGTATCACGTTCTCTCAGTGTGCTTGTTTTTAACCTTTGGTGAAACAGTCTTAGCTCCATGGTTCAGAAGTGACCGCGCTATTGCTTCCGGTTGCTGGCCAGGGTAATCTTCAACCACCTCGAGGAACAAACAGAAAAGAGTCAATCCCTCTGCCTGATCTTAAAACAATCAGATTCTAAACTTCACATCTTTGCTGTGTCACATGACTCTAACTAAGCCTAACCACTTAACCCCCCCCCCCAGCTCTCATGAGCTACCTGTATCAGACAGTCCATCGGTGTGTGTCCTGCACAGTTGGCAGCATCTGCCCTAGCGCCGTGCTGCAGCAGGACGTCCACGATCCGGGGGCTGCAGTTGGCGCATGCGTTGTGCAGAGGGGTGTGCCGCTTCCTGCCCGCGGTTCTAGGGTCAGCTCCTGCACCGAGCAGCTTTTGAACCACTCCTAAGTAGCGGCCGGCCTCGGAGGGCCTCTCTGCGGCGGAGCATGCAGCGTTCAGAGGGGTCTCTCCCTCCTGATTAGTGGCCAACACGTCTGCTCCGTAGCGGAGGAAGAGCTCCACGTGCTCCTCCAGGCCTCGCCGGGCAGCCACGAGCAGAGGTGTGAGCCTCGTCTCCCTCATCCTCACGCTGACGTCAGCACCTCCGCCTATCAGCAACTCGGCACACCTGGAACAAAAGGTGCACATCTGCATCTGCAAAAACATTACTTAAAGAAAAAATAGGTTTTCAAGTAAGAGTTTTGTTACTACAATTATGAGAATTACTTTTGAAAATTAAGATTAACACTTAAATTCAGTTTTCCCAAAGCTCCCAATAGATTAGTTAGTTGTCAGCTGCTCCATCACTCACTGGAGTGACTGGACGGAGGTGCAGAGGTGAAGAGGAGCGCTGCCGTCTGCGGCCAGCACTTCGGGATCTGCTCCATGAGAAAGCAGCAGCTGGACGCAGACTGCGTGGCCGCCCACGCAGGCGTCGTGAAGGGCCGTGTTTCCTCCGGGGTCGTCGTTCACCTCGGCCCCGCGAAACAGCAGCTCCTCCACACAGCCCGCGTGTCCTCTGCCGGCGGCCAGGCGTAGTGCTGAAGTCTGCTTCACCTTGGAGCTCAGCGTCCACATGCCTGCTGACAGATAGGAAAAAGCTCGCAGGAGTGTGTCAAGTGGTGTGTGTGTGTGTGTGTGTGTGTGTGTGTGTGTGTGTGTGTGTGTG